TCAATCAGTGTTGTTGTCTTTTGGATAACTGTATGGGAAAAAGAAAAGAAACTTTATTATTATGTCACAAGATACATAAAAATCAATTTTCAATTGATGGTCGCTCTAAATGTGAAATTTCTACAAGATAAAAAAAATCTTCATGATGTGAAGGTAGAGAAAAGTACTTATTAATGAAATACACTCATCAGCAACAAAGGAAATATTGATAAATTGGACTGCATTAAATTAAGAACTTTTATCAAATGACATCACTATAAGAGTGGAAAAGTAAGCCACAGAGTAGGAGAAGGTACATGTGACATATTTTACAAAGGACTTGTGTTCAGAATATGTGAAAAACTTTTTCCAAATCAGTAAGTAATATATATAATTCAGTATATCTTCTCTAGGAAAGAAGATATCCAAATAGCTGATATACCTATCAAAGGTGCTCGACCTCATCAGTAATCAAGGAGATACACACTGCAACAGACACCTATCCAGTCTCCTCCTAGGCATGTACACAACAGAAGTGGAAGCACAAGTGTACAAAGACATTTTTGAGAATGTTTATTGCAGTATTATTTGAAACAGCCCCAAGTTGGAAGCAACCCAAAAGCCCATTCATAATAGAAATTATAGTATACTCATTCAGTGAAATCATCTTCAGCAATTATGATGGAAAAAACCATGGCAACATACAACACGAACAGATCTCACAAACATTATTTTGAGCACAGAAATCCAATGCAAAAGAATATATATACTGCATGATTTCATTTATGTAAGGTCAAAAACACAACTATAGCTTTGGAAGTCTGTGTGGTAGTTAAATGGGGACAAAGCAGTTTTGGAAAACAGGCCTGTGCTTGGCTTTGGGAGGTGCTAAAAATGTCCTATTGATTATGGTGATAGATTATATCAAGTTGTATGCTTATGATTTGTACATTTTTTTTAGTGAGGTATATTTCACTTCCCTGGTTTCTCAGAGGTTAAAGCATCTGCCCACAATGCGGGAGACCCAGGTTCAATCCCTGGGTCAGGAAGATCCCCTGGAGAAGGAAATGGCAACCCACTCCAGTATTCTTGCCTGGAGAATCCCATGTACAGAGGAGCCTGGTGGGCTACAGTCCATGGGGTCACAAAGAGTCAGACACGACTGAGCGACTTCACTTTCATATTTCAACTTAAAAAAAAAAAAAACCCACCTGTGCCCTAATCAGACCAATCTTATGGAATTGTTTGTTTATACTATCAGTTATAATAAAATAATAGTCACTGTGACAATTTATGCGTAACACTGATGAAACAAAAGTGAGAAATTATCTATGACTAATAATCATTAATAAAAGAATAAAGATGAACTTGTGGAAGAAAAGCTACACATAGAATGTAACCTTAAGATTTTGTGGAAAGAGGTTCAACAAAGATCAAACACTTTAGAAAAAGGCTGTCTGTCTGACTCAAGACTTTGGGCCCGGCTGGTGTTCAGGCACACTCCATGCTGGCCTCTGAGTCTCCGGCTGGTTCGCACCCAACCTACACCTCCTCTGGTCCCCACAAGTCTTTTCTCTTAGTCTTGGACCAAATGAAGGCAGAATTCTCTGAGCACTGACTGGCTCACAGAACTGAAATGTCTCCAACAACACAGAGCTGCGAATTGCTGTGCTTCATCCTGAGAGCAGGCAGCCCTGAGAGAGCTTAGTTGTAAGAGAAAGACGCGGGCCAGAGCCCTCTGTGTGGCCACAGCCTCCCCCATCTACACGTGGGTCAGGAGGCCTGGGTTTTAAATTTTAATCTGAGAGCGCAGATTGGTACCTGCGCTGTTTTCCTCTGTGAGGTTTTTGCCTTTGCTGTTGCCACTGCTATTATTATTGTAAGAGAACGAGGAGGAGGGAGGGAGAAATCTCATATTCCCTTGCCTGGATTTCAAGACCCTTTTAATCATTCCCCCAGCTACCTTTTAAACATATCTCCCACTGATCCCCTGGGTGGTGCCTGTATTAACTGAACAAAAGTCACCACTGCAAAATACCGTGTGCTTCCTGCTTTTAAGAATTTGTCCATACTTCACCCATTCATTTCTGCTTGGATGAACCAATTCCACCTTCAAGGCTGAATTCAATGCAGCTTCTACCAGAAGGGTTTACTGACTATTTGCAGCCCCCGTGAGCGTTCTTTCCTGCTTACTCCAGTGACTATTTACTGACCATTTTCCACACCCTAAATCAAAATGCATAGTCTTCAGGGGATTTATCTACCATCTATGAGTATGAACAACCATCTGTGAGCTGTTTGAAGCTGGGAATAATAGAATTTCACATCAAAAATTTTTTCCTGCTGTTAAAATACATAGCATGTGCCAGGCACTATATTAAATACTTCATCTACATTATTTCACTGACTCCTCATGATAATTCTGATAGGTAGATATTATTAAATACCTGATCAAGGTTATTCTGGAGACAACAAACTGCAGAGCCAGAACTCACAACCAACTCATGACTCTTCACATCAGGCTCTGTCACAGAGCTCTGTCACAGAGCTGCTCACGGACAAGAGGTGTAGGTGAGCTAAGGCAGATGGTACAGAGAGAAGTGAGAAATGAGGCTGGGCCTGACCACAGGGTTTCACCCATGTCAAATCAGCGCATGCTCATCTGGAACCCTGTCCAGCAGGCGGCGGAAATACACTGTGTATGAGAAAGAAGACCTCAATGAACCTTCTGGAAATACAGATCGGTAGGTCCTACACCACCTTCAGAGTTAGCACAGTGACTGCAGGCATAGCATGGATTTGAATCCTGGCTACCTCACTTATCAGACATACTGCTTTAGGTAAGTTACTCACCCTCTCTGAAGTCATTTGTCCACTCTGTGCCTGCTTTTTCAGTCTGCAAAATGGGGATGATAGGATTTACCTCATGTGCTGTTGTGAAATAACACATGGGAAGAGTTCTGCAGGGCACCAAGGACACAGTAGGTCCATGGGAGAGTGGGCTCTTCCTCTCCTCCTGTTTGGGCCTCAATGTCCCATCTGTAAATGAGAGTGGGACCAGTTCACCCATAGGGTAGACACTATAACATCCATCTCAGCTCTCCTCTTAGCTTTTATGAGTTCTAGGAAAGTCAAGACACTGCTGCTAATTTGCTACATCAGCGGACAAACCATTTAAATGGAGAAGCACTTATATGACCTTGAACTTTTTGTCTCCAGGCCTCAGTGTCTCCACCCATCCTTTCTGCTTCACTCTTTTAGGACCCCAAACAGAAGAGTGCACACCTCTGAGATGAAAAGCATTTCTGGAGCCCCCAGACCCAGAGTGGTAGGAGGAGGAGTGTATGGAGTGTTAGAAGTGGGACTGCTTTCCTCTCTCAGGCCTTGGGCCCCAGATCCAGAACTGTGACCTCCCAGCTCATGGTCAAGTTGTCCTTGAAGGTAAGGTCCAGGTGACGCATTTTTGAGGTTAGCTGTGTGAAGGGGGAGTGGGTGGGAAGCTAAGAAGACTACATCCACAGGTGTGTGGGCCACAGGGAATCTTTCTCAGGTGCACTCTAGGCCCTCATAACTCTGCCTCCTTCCCCATCCCATTCTTGGATGAAGACAACTGGCATTTTCAACATCTGATATAAAGGACGGTATGGATGTAGTTTAGGCCTCACTCCAGCCTAGTTACTACACTTTAACCCCTTAAATCCGGGGTTCAGAAGACACTGATGTATGCAGGCTTCCCATGCAGGTTTACCCCAATCCCTTTCCCAGTGCTTCAGGTGACAGTTTTATCAAATATCTTTCCCCAGCCAAACAGGACTTGCCAGTCTACTTGTCTCCAATATCTCTTTCTTCACACAGCCAATGTCACATGCTTTAGTTTTCTGTTATGGCAGCACCAACTTCAAAGTACCAATTTCCAGTATGGTTAGGGTAGCCTGAGCTATGCTGGGGTTGCAAACAGGCCCAAGCACGTAATGACTCAACAGGAAAACCGTGTGCTTCTCCCTTGTCTCCAGGTCTAGCAGGCTGGAAGATCCTCTGGAAGCAGTGATTCAGGAAACACAGCTCCATCTATCCTGGGGTTCTACAACCTTCAGTGCGTGGTACCCAGAGTGAACTTGGGGGTTCTCTCCCTTCCAGTCCAGGAGAGAGAGAGTGAAATAGACCTGGAAGTGTCATCCCTGACTTTCATGCATGACGTTCTGCCTGGAACTCAGTCATGCAGTGCCAGCTAATATAATAGAGCCAGGGAGTGGAGTCCAGCTCTGTGGACAGGAAGAAGAGGTGCTCTAGTCCCTGCTACTTGTTAGCTATGGTGTTGGTACAAATCCTATCTATTCTACCTCTAAAAATTTTTCTCTCTTCTCTATTTACAGTATCACCCTTTAAAATTTCTATCCTTTCATAAGCCTTTCAACTTCTTTTTTCTGTTTTTATCTTCCCAATTTCCTTTAAATAGTTGCCATGTCTAATATAACTTAGATGTAATCATATTACTCTCCTTACCCCCAAAGTATCCATATCCTCTACACCTATGCTCCTAGAATAAAGCACAAACTCTTTAGCCTGGTACAAAATTTCTGCTCACCAAGTGCACACATACAATTCACACACAAATGAATTCTGTTTCCTATGCCCTGTTCTTTCCTTTTCCATGTAGCGCATGTGATGGTCCTTCAGCCTTCTCTGTCTCTTAAAACCATACTCACTTGTCCTACCCTCCATGAAACTGTCCTCAAGTTGCCTGGTTGAAATTCTTTCTTCCAGTGTTCTCATGCACACTGCCTGCTCAGTCACTTCAGTCATATCCAATTCTTTTGCGACCTTATGTTCTGTCCATGGGATTCTCCATGCAAGAATACTGGAGTTGGTTGCTATGCCTTCTTCTAGGGGTCTTCCCAACCCAGGGATCCGAACTTGCATCTCCTGTGTCTCCTGCATTGCAGGTGGGTTCTTTACCCACTGAGCCACCTGGGAAGCCCAGTGTTTTCATAGCCCTTTGTTAACCTCTGCATTTGATTCTTATGTTGTCACTATGTTATGTTAACAGTATTCTCACATTTTGTGGTCAAGGACATATGTGTATCAGCAAAGAGCAGAACCAATTGGAAATTTACAAATATTCACATGTGTCCATGTTATACAGGAAAACAAAAGTAGCATTCTTTGAGTCTTGTCAATTTAAAACTTTATCAAGTCAGTTTCTTCTTGTGGTCTTTATGAGTCAAAAGGAAGCATCACTCCCACTGTTGGTACAAGTGAAGGGAAACCTCTTCTCACTCTTTTCTAAGAATACTTTGATTAATTGTAAAGATTTCATGTTTTAATACACAACTTAGTGACTGAACAGCAATGACATGTTTTAAGGCCAGTCTCTGTAATTTCATTAAGTAATCTTAAAATTCAAAAGCAGGCTTGTAAGTATAGGATGGAAAGGGAGAAAGAGAAGAATAACTTGATAGTGAAGAAAGCTGACAAACCCCTCCACCAGGTGATCAAGGATAATATCCACAGTGGTGAGTCATGCTGATGGTGTGTCCCTTGGTGTGGTATGATGAGAATGATACTGTGCCTCTGTGGTCCTCTCCCAAAACATTACCCAGTCTAATTAGGAGAAAAACATGAGACAAGCCCCACTTGAGAGACACTGTACAAAATATCTCACCAGTAATCTTCAAAACTGTCAAGGTCATCAGAAATAGGAAAAGTCTGAGAAACTTTGTCACAACCAAGAGTAAACTAAGGAGACATGATAACTAAATATAATGTGGTAAATGGAATAGGATCCTGAGATACAGGAAGGGCATTAGGAAGGAAAATGAGGCCATCTTAATTAAAAAATGAACTTGAGTTAATAATCACATATCAATATCAGTTCTTTATTGTGACCGATGTACCATGATAATGTAAGATGGTGATAATAGAGGAAACTGGCTGTGGGACATATGGTAAGTGTTCACACTGTCTATGATGATTAATTTTATGTGTCAATCTGGCTAGACCATGGTACCCAGTTATTTGGTCAAACACAACTCTAGATGCTTCTATAAAGATTTTTTTTTAGGTGCAATTAACATTAAATCAGTAGACTTTGAGTAAAGCATATTACTCTTCATCATGTGGGAAGGTCTTTCCAATCAGTTGAAGTTGTTAAAAGACTGAAGTCCTCTTAGTTGAAATTGGGATGAAGTATGGTCTTGAGTTCATAGTCATGTATTAATATTGGTTCATTAAATGTGACAAATGTACCATACAAATATGTTAATAACAGGGGAAACTGGCTGTGGGCTGTATGGGAACTCTCTTTACTATCTTTGTGATAATTCTGTGAGCCTAAAACTGTTATAATATTTTAAAATCCTTAAAAAAAATCAGACTTGCAGAATTCAACTTAACTGGCTGAAGTATGATTTTGTTTTTAAAACAGTGAAACAAGGAGCATATATCATTGTGTTCCACAATAGCATTCTGAGTCCTGCTGAATTGACGCGATGGGGTAAAAACTTATTTCTCTTTATTAACTTGTACAAAGAAATGCTTTTGTTCAGCCAATGAGTGTTTTACAGTTAAACACTGTACGTGGGAAAAAATCAAAAGGGAATGCATTGTAAAACTAAACTCCTTTACTTAAAAGGGGCCTAAAATGTGTTTCTTGTTTTTAATGGGGATAATTATTTTCAGTCTTTAATAATCATTCCTCTTTGCTGCCACTTTAATAGAACACAGTGGCGCAGAGAGAACTGGGAACAGGGGCAAGGGAGATGTTGGACAGAAAGGTCTTTGCTCTGTCTGACAGGTAATACTCAGAACACTGGAGAAGTTGAAATGAAGCCATTCATTCAGAAATATGTCTTGTTTGCCTTCTATACACCAAGGTGTGAGGGCTGGGAAGACCCAAATGAATCAGGTGGAGAGGGAGGTGGAAGGGGGGATTGGGATGGGGAATACATGTAAATCCATGGCTGATTCATGTCAATGTATGACAAAAACCACTACAATATTGTAAAGTAATTAGCCTCCAACTAATAAAAATAAATGAAAAAAATAATAAAATAAAATGAATCATTTACAGATGCTGCTCTCAGCACCTTATCATTGTTCAGGATTGTAACATATACATGATATATATAAGGTTATAAAACCATATATCCTTATATAAATCACATCTGTATAAGAAATTTAAATTGTGTATGTATATATATATACTGTATAGCTCACTGTCTTTCCTTGCCTCCCATAGGCAGCTGTTGTAATGTGTTTAATATGTATCTTATATGTATGTATGTGTTCCTGCAAAAATGTATATTATTGTTTGGTGAGCATATATCTTTAATTTATGTAAATAGTGAGGTGCCACATTATCTAATCCTATTTTATTACTTTTTTATAGTAAGCACTATGTTTTTAACCCCTATCTTTGTTGTTAGTGAGTACATAACCTTTAACCTGTAATTGCTACATAATATTATAAGAAAGAAGGAAAGACCTCATTTGCTGGTCTCTGGCAGACCCGCTTCTCCCACCAACCCCATCCTCAAGGAGCCTGCGTTTGGTTGGTGCCTTCCCTTTGGTCTAGGGTATAAGTATTCACTTACACAGACCTGATTGTCTAGGAAAGTTTCCAAAGAAGGATTATGGCTCATTTCATTAAGACTATGCTGGCAGCTTATTCAAAGTTGTAATTAGTGAAACTGTACAGATACTCTCTCCCTCCTGAGAAAATATAATTTCTGATTCCTTTTTTACCCTTGACCCAGAAGACTACGTTAACTCCGTCTCTAAAACCCCCATAGGGATTTGTGTTCCAGGATGTGCTCCTGTGGGAGAATAAAAGGTGAGGGTCTGGAGACGGGGAGCTTGTCCTGGCTGTGTCTCATTGGCTGAGCCACTTTGAGCAGGTCCTAACATCCTTCTGTAGTTTGAATAGGTGCTGAAGTCACTCTTCGTGGGTTTGAATCCCAATTATGCAACTTCTGAGCTGTGTAACCTTGGGCAAATTATTCACCTTGGAAAGGAGGTAATTAAACCACGGATGATTTCTAGGAGGGATTCCAATTCAACTATTGTTTCATCCATAGGTGTGTGCTTGGCTCCGGGCCCTTTTGGCATCATTCTTCTGTCTGTCTTTTCCCCAGTAACCTCTTTTCCCTTCAAGGTTCTCTCCAGATGGCATGTTCTTTAAAGCTTTTCCTCAGATTTCAGATTTAAGTAAAGAATAAAAGAGCACTAGAGATGGAATAAATAAAGGTAAAATAAAATCTTTTATTTTTCTTATTAATTGATCTAATAGATAACTGTTCAAAGTGATAATATTAATAGCAACAATGCATTAGGTGATTATAGCATATGGATGAGTGAAATGAATGACATAAATTTGTAAGGAATGAGAGGGATTAATTGGGAATACTATGTTATAAGGCACATGTGTTGCATCTGAAGTGTTATTTGAAAGTGGACTTAAATTTGTTATAAATGTATTTTGTAAATTGATAGACTAAGAGAGGAGAGAAAATGGAATTATATGAAATGCTTGGTTAAAACAAGAGAAGGCAGAAAAAGGGAGAAAAAATAAAGAACAAGTACAATGTTCTTGTATGTGAATGTAAAACACCTACAAACGTGGTAGATAGTAAACCAAATACACTAATAATCACACTAAATATGAATTGTCTAAATATATCAGTTAAAAGACAGGCTGTTAAAGTAGATAAAGAAGTAGTTCTGATTATATACATATTTTTTTTCCACAATGAATCTATTTTAAATATAAAGACACAAATAGATTAAAAGTAAAGGGATAGAGAAAGATATTCTATAGTAACACTAATCAAAGAAAGCTGAAGTAGCTATATTAATTTCAGACAAATTAGACTGAAGAACAAGGGAAGTTATTAGGGATAAAGAGGGTCATTATGTAATGGTAATGGAGTCAATTCTCCAAGAAGACAGCAGTCCTTAATGTGTATGTACTTAATGACAGAACATCAAAACACATGAGGCAAAACTAATAGAACTGCAAAGGAGAAATAGACGAATCTATTAATATGGATTTGGAGACTTGAATACCCCTTCAGTAATTAATAGATCCAGCAGGCAGAAAATGAGTAATAACACAGGTGAACTGACACAGCACCATTAATCAACTAGACCTAATTGACATTTATAAAATACTTCATCCAACAATAGCAGAATACACAGGTACCATGCTATGTTGATCACTGTAACTTTACAGTAAGTCTTGAAGTTGGATAATTGCTTTAACTTTGTTCTTCCTTGTATTGTGTTGGCTGTGTTTTTGGCCTTCCATATAAACTTGCTAATAGCCACAAAATGACTGCTCAGATTTTGATTCAGATCATATTGCATCTACAAATCAAGTTGGGAAGAATTGACAACAATACTGAGTTTTCTAATCCATGAACACAGACTGTTTCTTTTTAGATGTTTCTTGACTTTTTTCATTAAACTTTGTTATTTTTATGCATAGACCTTGTATATATTTGGAAAGTTTATAACTTAAGTATTTCAAGTTTTTTGGTGCTACTATAAATGATTCTGTGTTAATAATTTCAAATTCCAATGTCCATTGTTAGTATGAAGGAAAGTGATTTTGTACATTTACCTTGTATCTTGTAATCTTGCTGTAGTCATTTACTCATTTCAGGTGGGTTTTTTATTTTGTCAGTCCTTTGGGATTTTGTGCAGAGACAATCATGCAACCTTCAAACAAAGACAGTTTTATTTCTTCCTTTCTAATCTGTATACCTTTTATTTTTTAAAAAGTATTTAGCCCTATTGTTTACATAGTAGGGATAGCTGACATTTTCTGAGTGATTACTATGTCCAAGCACTGCCCCAACATTTGTTATTTGTTTACTTGTGAAATACTTGTTATGCAGTCACAGGAACTTTCTAGAGTAGGTACCACTATTGTCCCAGTGTTACAGAGGACAAGACTGAGGATAGAGAAGAAGCAAATTGCCTAAAACTTTGAAACATTGTCAGCACTTCGGTATTAAAAATTTCTCTCTTTTCTCTGGGAGAAGCATAAAAATCCGTGCAAACCATGGTTCCCAGTTCTTGTTTCAGGAAACATAGTCATCAAATCTATCTAGGCAGCCCCAACCTTTCCCTGAAGTTTTGTTCCTATAATCCAACTGAGCACTAGAAATGGTCTCCTGTGTGTCCCACAGGCATCTCCAACTGACTATGCTCAAAATCATATTCACAATTTTCTACTCCAGCCTTGCTTTTCCTCTTGTGTTTCTTTTTTCTTATTATCTCCTCTTCCTTTTTATCTTTTAACCCCCACTTTATTAATTCTGTT